GCTCTATTACAAATGGCTGAACCGGTGTTATATTCTTCAACAATGGAAACAAACAATAGAAATCAACAAACAAATTAAAAAACAACATAAATACATAAAGAAAGTTCAACAAAATAGCAGATGGATCAATGAACAAGCCATCAAAGACATTTATATTACTACAACTAACAAATATCTGAACAATTTTATAAAATATAATACTTCTATTTTCTCTTTGTTTAATATAGAAATTGGTGCTAGCTTTGCCTTGACAGATTAGTTTTTCCCTTAATCTGAAGTGATAACAAACTATTCGGTAAACTATAGTCTTAGGAAGTTTAGTAGCATAAATGATATATAGAATATCTTCGATTTTTTTTTGTAATCCCTACAATATGTATTGCTAATTACTTTATCAAAGCTAATAAACAAGGCTGAGTCAGCAAAAAAAAAAAAAATATTAAATATATTCAAAGAGATAAATAAGAAAATATAGATTTTAAATCAGAATATGTTTAAGATTTATAATTCGATAAATATTAAAATAATCAAAAAATTATAAAAATCCTAGATAACTTTATTTAAAATAAAGAAATATAGCTCTTATATATTATAGTACAATAGATTTCTATTTAATAAAAAATAGTATATATCAAGATAATAGTATCTTCTTTTTTTTATAATAGATTTTTTATAATTACCTTTTTATAATGATTAATAGTAAATATTGTTAACCTATTCAATAACCTCTAAATTAGATAGATAGACAGAACAACTATAGTAGTAATCCACTTTAAGTTAAGGGAGAATACCTCAGTTGTAATATACTAAAGTTGATAATTCAAGAATAGTAGAAATTATACAAACACGTTGAAAGAGTCTTTGGATGATTTGGTTTAATTAGAAGGTTTATTAGAGATATATAATATCAAAAATAAGAGAATTCAGTAGATAAAACCTTGGGTCAACTGCTTTGGACAGCTGGCCTTTATATACATATTTGAATATTAATTATTTGGTGACTAAAGTGACTAAAGTGACCAAATCTATCAGATTTACCAAATTAGGCCAATATGTCAGATCTGATCACTTGAGTAACCTGCTAGCTAAATATAGATAAGATATGAAAATTAAAGAATGAAATTAAATAATGCATGCTATATCAATCACTACCTTGCCCTAATGATTGGATATATCCTATGAATCAATGAGACACACCTTGTATCAAATGTGTCACATGATCTAAAAATAGAACTACAGTAATATAATAGACAAGAATTATAGATAATAATCAAAGAAAAATACAACTAATAATTAAGGCTAATAATATAAAACATATGTACCAACAATTAAAATTTGCAAGTATTTGGATCAAGATTAATTTTTCAGATCTGAAATATTATAATCAATGTATATAAATATAATATTACTTAAATTATAAACAATAAAATAATATTATAATATATCATTAGTATTTAATAAGATTAAGTTATATACAGTACTTATAAAAATTTTTTCAATGCTAATCCTATTTTTTTAAAAAATTTTTCTTTTATGTTAATTTTCTTAAAAAAAGTAAACTAGTCTATATATATAAGAAAAAACAATATATTTTCAAATTAACTTAATAAATATATAATAAAACTATTTAAAAATATTAAAAATAGAGATATAAGTAATTTTCAAATAGCCTTTCTATATTTTTTTATCATAAAATTATTAAGAGAAAGAAAAGATAACTGAAAACTAATTTACAGTTAGAATAAGAGTGTTAATATCAACTTTATATAGCTTACAATCAGGACAATACAGTTTAATATCTTTTTTAATATTGTAAGAAACTTTAAAAGTAATTAAGTTTACTTGATAAATCAAGTTGCTTCAATTACTTCAAAACCTAAAAGGATATTAAAGCTCTTTAAAGACAAGACAATTTTAATATATTTATATAATAAAACAATAAATCTATTTCAAAACCTGTTACATAAATATGAATAGTTAAAGAAGATAAGTTATAACAAATATATATAATTTATTATTAAAACAAGTTATTTATTCTCTATATAAATATCACAATAGCAATTTCTAATTAGAATAGAATAATCTATATTATTGGAGATCATATAAGTAATATAATTTATATATAATAGTTTAAAATCTAAAAATATGAAGGTCTGATATAAAAAATTAAATATCATAAAGTAAAAACTATGAATTAAGACCCAAGTATTAATAAGAGAATTGTGTGTATATAATAGAATATGAAAAGTTTAATAAAGTTTAGAGTTAGTATAAAAATATTGTAAAATAAATAGTCTATTATTAATTAAAAAAATATAAATATCTATTAATATAAGCTATAAAAGTGATGCTAAATATATTAAGATAGTTTTTATTAAAAATAAAAATAATAATTAGTATTATATAAAGGAAACACAATATAAATAAAGAAACACTTATCCTTGATCAAATAAATTATTCTATTTTTATCTTTATTAAATGTTTTTATAGATGTTCTTTTTTTTTATATTAGTAGTAGTTTTTAAGTTATATGAGATACTATAGATTAATGATAGACTCACTAGATTAACTCAATAATAACAGATAGAATGTTATTATAAATAACAATAATAATATTTTGAATACAACTCCTAATTAGGCTTCTAGAAAAAAAGAATTTCAATCTTTTTTAACAAATAAAAATATATATAAAATAAAAAATATAAAAATAAAACTAATAAAGTAAAAGTATACTTTGGAATAAAACACAATGAAATAGTAAACAAACTAACAAAAATTGATTCAGTATATGATATAACCCCAAATAGCAGATTAATAGTTATATACTTCATAACTAATCTATAACTCATTCTGATTCCTCAATAGAATTATCAAACTATAGACATTTTAATCAAAACAATGACTAAATATATTATAAAGGCAATGAAGAACTATTTACAAAAATTAAACTATTTAATAGATCACTAAAACTATATAAAAATAATAAATGTATTTTATGTGATCAAAGAAAATCCAATATATATTTATTTATTTATCAAACAAATCTATATACAATAGGCAACTTCTTCATCAAGGTCATAAAAAAATAGTTACAAAATATAATAAAGACACAAAACCAAAGACATCTTCACAAATTATATAATTAATATTGTCTTATACTATATATACTATATAGAAATTGATCTGTAAATCTATAATGTAGTGGTAGTGCTCTCAGGTCACCAAGTACTGTTTTCAACTTCATACTACTATGAGGCAATATCATCTAAGTCTAGATAATACAAGAAGATTCATCCATTTCATAATGATAATCTAACTACTTCTGATCAAAACCATATCTGATTATAGGACATTCAAAGATTGCAAGATATTTTAGCCAGTTTTAGTACTAAAGCCACCTTATTATAAGACAGATTTTATAAGCTCCTAAAAATAGGTTGAAGATCTGCTAGCCATAAAAAACTGGGTACCAATAGAGCTTAGGCATATTAGTTAGAGAAGGATCTCTAACAATTGAGATCTGTCCAAGACTTCACATGATCTCTCCATAGGCAGTCTGTAATAGACTATACAAAAAGGGTTTTTGGTAAGATGAGATGACATTTAAGACTTTATGTGAGTACTCTGTAGGCATGCTGTAATAGATATTGTAAGAAGAATATCAAGTGGGACAAAATATAAAAAAGGGGTTCTATATCTTAACCCAAGGATGTAAAACTGGGAAGAGGTACAGATGTAGAAAGATGGGTAGTAGAGCTTGTTCTGGCAATAAGCCATGTAGGTGTTGATGGTAGCTTCAGGGCTACTTGTCACAAAAACGGATTTATCACTTAATTGATTGTAAGGTTTATATATATAAATTTATATAAATTGAATAGCATACAGAGTATAGTACTATGTAAATTGTATTCACAGAACTTATATGACTTTATGGTAATAAATTGGATTTGTTAATCCATTAAAAATATATATATAGAAATTGTCATTTATAGAGATATTCTAAAAGAAACAATTAAGATAATAGAAAAACTAATTTTCAACTGAAATATAAGGAAAGCATGTCTTCAAGAATTCATTTGGGAAATCATCAAGTATCTATAGAAAATATGACACAGCAGATATAAAGAATTTCAAAACTGGAAAAAATAGCAAGGTACTACCAGAGTCATAGAGAAGCTTCACAGATATAGTACTATACCCAAACTCTTGGTTAGAGAAAAGAACAATTTATTAGCATAGTCAACAAATACATTTACAATAGTATCCAATCGATATCAACCTCATATTATCTACTAAAAATTTTTATAGTGTTAGCCCAGCCTTGGCAGGTCAGTTCCCCTTAATGGGTGGCAACAAGTGATGAGATAAGTTTTCCTTATCGAGCTTTATTTGGTAAGCAAAAGTAATTATAGCATAATCACATGTAATTCTCCACTAAATTTAAATAAAGCAAGGCAGTTAAAAAAAATTTTTTTAATCAACTATGTAACCTAAATTTTAATTATCAAAACAAGCAAACCAATCAAAAACTACGTATTTACAATTTGATACTTAAGGCTCGAGACATGCGTAAGATGTTATTAGCATATACTGTATATACATTTATATATTGAGATCGAGACATACTACATTTTTGACATTTGTAATTTAGTTTCATCCTTTTCCTAACTTCACTATTCCGCGTCGATTTCTTGAAATAGAACAGCTAATGGCTTGATTCTATTGTGTAAAGTAATCGTTTTTGGTCTAAGTTATGTCGTTGCCTACTGAATGATCATTGTTCGTGTCAGTTTTTTACAATTTTTTATTGATTGTGGTTAACTAATAATCAATTAAATCAATCCGAGTTAATATATTTAATACTGAACAGTCCATGAAATAGCGAATATGCCATTATATAATAATAAATAAATAATAAAAAATAATTTCAGATATTTAGTTCGTGAAATGCTTCAAGATACAATTTGACTATAATCCAAGTATTTCATAAATAAAAACATTTAAATGTCAAAATCAAGCCTTACATCAGGAAAACTTCTAGATCTCCAATAGGCTTTCACAATCAAAGGGTAATGAGTGTCCGGAACGTATCCCTCGTAATTTATCTTCAAATTACTTTCGTGAATACTCCAAACCGTCTCATCGTATCTCTCCGACAATTCCACATGAAAATCACCCTGAATCTCCATTAAAGAGATAAATGCATTAAGGGAATCACCACGATGAGGAGCACACAAAAGAAACATTCCTGAGTCAGAATTATCAGCGGTTGGTTTTTTGAGAATGGAACGCAGGACATGAAGAAGGTGCGAGTGTGTTGATTTATCGAATGTACTATTCATCAATGCAATGATTAAGAAATCAGAAATATACAAGCAAAACTTAATTACTTAAAACTTACCAATCAGCACAAATTACTATGTCGTATGTATCCTCGTATGTGGATTCCAAATTCCATAACAATTGATTAACAGACAAGTCAACACCCGAAAATAAGGATAGGTTCTCGTTACGATTTAATATTTGGCGAATGTGTATTATCCAAGAGAGTTAATATAATAATATATGAATTTGTGAAATAAAAAGCAAATGCGTGATAGTAATGCAGTAATTAAAAACAAAAAGGATATTTTCTATACAACTTGGATTTCCATCTGTCAGAAGAACACTCTTTGGATGACATTTTGTGGCGATTACCAGGCCAGAAAGCGAGCTCATACCACCACCTATCTCGCAAACCGATTTGCCCCTAATAGAATAATTTAAACCATTATTATTATTTTTCTTTATTATTGAAATTTCAATGTTAATAATAATTATTCGACCTCTACCTAAATATTTCATCATTTTTTAAACAATAATAAGCCAATACCTCTTCAGCTGGCCAGACACATATGTTGCCAGTATTTAGAAAACCAGAATATTCGGAAGAAAAAGCATTCTTTAGATCTTGTGTTTGAGGGATTTTTATACTATACATATTTGAATTCAATATAGTAGGAAGTATGAATAATGTCAATAATGATAAAGAAAGAGGCAGGGGATACGAACCGAACATGCAAATAAACACCATCCAAATTATAGGCGAACCATTCTTCGTTTGCTTGAGAATTAGAAGACACCTTGTTTCTCCCTTCAACTTTATCATAGTCATCGTAACCATTATATGATAATTGAAGTTTCTGTTTGAGAAACAGATCAAAACCTCGATGAGATCTTTTTGAAATTTGAGGTGTAGAATGTGAAGAATTATCCAAAAATATCGAAGAAAGTAATTTCCATCTAGCTTTTGCAATTGTAGAATTTGAATTTGAAAGTCTAGATTCGTGGGCACTATAATTGGGGTCCAAATTTAGATCCATGTTGTCGAAATTCACACATGTACGGGTTTAAATACTGTAAGTGATAATTAGACGTACAGGCTGGTGACACAAATTAAAATACCGCCGATGGGTTGCACATACAGTATCCTTTTTTCTTTAACGCGTTTAGACATTGTGTTTACAAAGTCTAAAATTGGTTTAAACAATGGCATTTCACGTAGCAAAGCTAGCCCCTCCTCTGTACATGATTTTCAATTTTTATAAATCCATTTTTAACTTCATGTATCTCCAAATATTCTCAATTGGACTAAAGTCTGGTGATTATGGTGACCATTCTCTATTCATAATTTCCAATTTTTCTTTAAGCTTCTTTACGAGTTTACTTTATAAGTGTGAATATTATTTTCTTAAAATATTTTCCCTTCAATCATAATTATTGAATAAAATACGTATCTCTAAAACAAGGTTTCTATATTCTTTTCATTTTGCCATTTTTTATTAATAGATTTATTTTAAATTTTTATCAAATTTCATTTTTTATTTACAATCATATCACCATGGCATGTCTTTATTGATATACTAAATAAATTTCTACAAAGTTATAGGCTTTTCACATAATGACTAACTTATCTTTGTATATTATTAGTTGAAGAACTATATTATTTAAAGAATATAAGAATTCATTAAACTAATTAGGAGTAACTAAGTCTCAACTAGTTACTTTAAATCAGATTTAAATAACAATATTATATTTTCTAAATAGTCTGATACTTAATTTCTAATTATTAAAATCTTTGTCAGTAATTTATTACTATTAATTATTTCAAAAAATAATAAATTGGCAAAGTATCTAAGAAATTAAAAAAGATAACAATTTAAAGTTTTTTTAAAATATTCTTAATTTATTTAACAATTTCTTTTTGAAAATATTTATCTAATTAGAATATTTTCTAACTTTATAATATTTAAAAAACTAAGCTAAAAGACTTTGCGAAAAATATTTGAAAAATAATGATAAAATTAAAGTAAATAATTGAAAAAATCTTTCTGCTGATTTTTTTTATTCTTAAAAAAATTTTTTTTTTTTTGATAATTTCTTTGAAAAAAAGAAGCTAAAAAATTCTATACCACTTCAAACTAACAGCTAAGAAACAAATTATATAATATTCAACTATATTCAAAGGGACTCATCTATTAATTAAAAGTTTAGAAACTATACTTTATTCTTTTTTAGCTTTATTTTTATAAGAAAGAAATATACTTACAAGCTGATTCATAATAAACTTATAAGAACTCAATATCAATTTTTCAAGTTTATAGTCAGCCAATATTAGTTTACATCTTTTTAGGTGCTAGAAGAAACTTTACAATCTTTAGTTTTTATGAATAAATCAGGAAAACTCAAAGTTCATAAAATCTAGAAGAATATCAAAAACTTTTAAAGATTAAATAGTAGAGTACTCTGATTGTTCATTATTATAATCTAAATATCAAAACAAATTATATAAATATGAAGATGTTAATTTATAGTAATTATCAAGATAACATAACAAGATTTGCTGACATTCTATAAATAATACAGTATATATTAACTCTTATAATAAAAGTAAATTAACAACAAATCTAATAAATAAGCAAATCAAATATAAAAGGTTAGCAACTTCACCAATAAACAAAATGTTAAACTAGAATAATAATATATTGATCTTATAATATGCTTGTTTTAAGTATACTTTTTCTCAG